AAGAGCCCCATTTGGCACGGCTAGGGAAAGCTATAGTTTGCCGGCGACGGGGGAGCGAGCGTGCCTAGATGGGGACGAGGGCTGGCTGGATGAGGACGGCATCGCCGCACGGTCGGCTTAAAAAGAACGATCACCGTCGCTGACGTGTGGGCCCGAGGTCATAAGTTAAGCTGACTAGGTAGGTGGAGGACGATTGGACGACCGCCAAATGAAGACGTGGCGGACACCCAGAAGGCGTGCGTGGCGCCTGTTTCGCATCCGCGCCGACGCATTTGGGGCACAAATTTGGGCCGCAAATGCGTCGGTACGGACGCGAAGCGGACTTCATTTGGATTTGAGTCACCGTGTTGGACCTTCTTTTTTATTCACACCGATTCAAATGGACGGCGGCGAACGAAATGGATCACCCCATTAGAGTTAGTTTAATGGTCTGTTTTTAGATAGGGTACAAATCAAAACGATTCGTGCAAACTGTTGATATTTTACTTTGGCAATGAAATACCTATTGCTGGCCTGCTGGGGATAGTCTTTGATCTTGTCGTTCCTCTTGGAATTTGAGCCGGGCCGGTGGACATATTTGATCTTTTGTGCTAGTAAACATAGAAATAGTTGACAATGAAAGCAGCTAGAGAAATTACAAGTTTATGTGTCTGTCTGTACATAATGAAAATGTGTCGGAGGTGATGAGAGAAAAAAAGCTTGTGAACTCTTTATCTTACGACTATCTCTGCTACCTCTGTCATTTGATATGAAAACACTGTAAGAGTCTTCACCATGAGTAAACTCCAAGAAAGAAGCTTGGAGCATATATGGTGATTGTTTCTTGCAGATAATTTGCTAAAAAGCCATAGATGAAAGAGATGATGAGGACATGACTACCTTGAATATGACCAAAAATATTGCATACATGTATATTTGTAAAGTGATTTTTAATGCAAACTATACAACAATTTATTTATGTCATTCAGGACAAAAATACTTCAAAGACTTTTGTGTCATGTCTAATTGTAGGTGTATGGGACATTTGTACAATCCACATATGAAGAAAAGGAAAAAAGAGATGTTTAGGTGATGTTCAAAAAGTCCTTTCATGTTACTTTTGGGCCAAGAGAAGATAGAGTCCAGGTCTCTCACGTTCTGGATTCAGATTCGGACTGCACAGACATACCTGACTCAAAACGCCAACAACTTTTTCATACGGACTCCGAATTGTGTGATTCTTTTTTTGTTTGAAAGTAGATTTCGTGCTCTTTCAAGTACAATTGAATTCCCCTTCAAATTCGTCCGAAGCATTGAGTTATGGATGAAACAATCTGACGTTGCAGCAGAATCCGAGTCAAACGACAAACCCAAAGGTGTTGTATCACCTCCACTTGGGCCCATGAGCCTTGTACGACTTAGGGTTCGTTTTAGGCTGCCTTGAGACGTCCTCTCACCTCCTTAGCCGCTACCCCTTGCTCCTATATAAGTAGATTCATCTAGTAGCTTTTTCCTTGGGATTTGTTTAGTTAAAAGTTAGCCAACGCAACTTCGTGTACATCATTCTGTCCAACGACCAGACCAAGACCGCTTTCAGATCCTCACATTTATCAATACTACATCTATATTCGCAATATTCAGATTGCATTATCATATTCTTGCTTGTTCTTCGATTGCGTGCAGGAATAGA